AAAAAAAATAAAAGAAAAAAAAAAAAAAAAAAAAAAAAAAAAAAAAAAAAAAAAAAAAAAAAAAAAAAAAGAAAGGAAATATGTGAAAATTTCATATAGTTTTCATACCAGTAGAAATGTCTTCTCAAACACTGGGTATGTATAATTCACCAGTCACCTCCACCTCCCTCGTCCCCCAGCTCCCACCTCCAAGGGACACTAACAAGCCCAAATGTTAAAAAAGAAAGTTTTATTGTTTCTTAGGAAGGGAAACATATTCTCACTTTAGCTGGGAAGCATGACAATCCCCAGCTTGGGGGCAGAATGCAGCTGTCTTTGGTCGTGGTGGTGCTTAGCGTGGCCAGAGGCAAAAGCCCAAAATGTCCCTTAGAGTCAGGGAGGAGTATCCCGTGGGTGCAAGGCAGCCCACAGCTTCCCAGCTGAGAGGAGAAAGGCTGCTTCTTGGCGCTGCATGAATAACTGCTTCAGCCACAGAGGTTTCCCCTGGGTCTGTGGCCTGGCCCAGGTGGGGCAGTTCACAGCATAAAGCATGTGGAAAAGCTCTCCAAGGCCTCGAAGAGTTCCTTAGCTGCCTCCCTGTGGCATCCAAGCCTGCAGAAGTGCTCAACCAGGAGTGGGTCACTCTGGGCTGGTGCCTGGAACACTCCAGGGCATTGGGAGCATCTGCAAAAAGGAGCTTAGTGCTGACATCCTGGTCTGAACCCTTCCCGGTGTTTTTAAGAAATCTGATGCCTATAAATTCCTATGCCTATCATATAAATACATAAATACTTTTAACAAAAGGCTCTGGAGTGTACAGCCGGCAGTGACACGCTGAAATGTTGACGGAGTTCGTTGGGAGACACGTAGTCTGCTTGCCCTCGGTACCTGCCTCACTTCAGCAGTCTCTGGCTGTGCTCAGGTCATGTGCTGCCTGCAGTGTGGGCAGGGCAGGACTTGTCCTCAGCAGCCCCAGGCTGTAATGAGAACAGGGATGTGCACACCTCTATGACAAGGTCTGCTGCAAGGCTCACAGGAACCGAGTCCTCCCCAAGGGAAGGATGCATAGACCTGCAGGTTCCACTTGGTCCCTTAGAAAGAACCCACCAAATCCAGAGTCTTCATGTTTTCCTGAATTTTTATGTGCCAGAATCATTGAAGCCAGTGTGTGAGTGTGTGCATGAAGGTTTTCCTCTGACATCTGATGTCAAGATGTGAATGTCCTACCAGATATTCCCTCGGCTGAGGCTTCAGCAGTCTGCAGATAACTGGCTCAGCCAGTGGGCCACTGGCTCTCAAA